TTTGCAGTTCGGGAAAAATAACCAAAGATAGAGGAAGAGCTTTCAGAGGCCATATTTTTGTCAGAGTTTAGTGGCTGACTGAGGTAAGATACTTGTTGCTCTTTGTTGTTTTTGCTTGGAGCACTACTTGTAGGTTGCTTTTTGTTGTATGGAACTTGGGGGTCCTTAGGACCGCTTTCGCGGGAGGATTGAAAAACTGCTTTTTTGCCGTTTAGTGAGTTTATTGTTACTGGCCTGTCGCAGTGAGAACTTTTTCTAAAAAATGCACCTCCTTTAGGTACTATTTGGGGTGCTGGATAACTTTACTTAAGAGTCGGATATCAATTTACTTAGTAAGTTTACGAGATATTGTCGCGGGAAAATTTTTCTTTCTTGTTCTTGTTTTGAGTGATCTACGGGAAGAGTTATTTTTTTTTTACACTTTGTAATATTAATAATCTGCCCTTTGAAGTTTACATATTAATAACTTGCTCTTTGAAGTATACATATTAATAAACTGCCCCTTGAAGTTTACGTATTAATAAACTGCCCCTTGAAGTTTACATATTAATAAACTAATCTTTGAAGTTTACATATTAATAAACTGCTCTTTAAAGTTTACATATTAATATTATTTAACCCTGTTGAATGCATGATACAATAGAAAAACCAAATAGTATACCAAAGTCTTCAGAACCATTAGCAGGATCATTACCAGAAAATGTTGCAACTATATTCCGCAAAATTATAATTATATGGTTTCTGAGATTTGACAACTTCCAAACTATATTACCCCAGAAGGGTTCTTAATTGATCAATTTGAAATAAATTTTTTTGTTAATGTTAATAATATTGAAGGTGTACATCAATAGTTTTCTGAATATGAAAAAACATTAAAGACCATGATGTGTGAAACAAAATCATTTCAAGTTCAAGGAAAAAAGATTATTCTTCATGAATTATGTTACTGTATTTACAGTAATAAAGTCAAAGAAAAACAGGAAAATTCACAATTAAAAGGCCTTATTCACCACGTGTCAGAAATACAGAATGCATAGCAATGATTCATCTTCAGCTTAAGTATTGGCGCATTTAAACTACTCATCCACTTAAGGTCAATATTAAATTTTTGCATAATCATGTCATCAATTCTGCTGAATCTCTTAGTTTTCAACTGTTAAAGAGGAAGTTCATAAAAAGTATCTTGAGCTTTTTACTAATGGGTATTCACCAGCAACAGCTCTACATACTTATGAGGATAGTATCTATTTTCGTGCAAGCAATAATCAGGAATTAATACAACTATTGGCTGACTGTACGCAAAATCCTGATTATAGTTATGTCTTAAATCTGTTTAAACAATATCATGATGAATATCTTGGAGCATGAAATGGCATAACAATGTCTTAGTGTTTTAAATATGAGGTTGACAAATATAATAATTCAGGACAAGGTCGTGTAGCACTTCAAGAGTATGATTCACAATCAAAAAATGCATTCATTTTGTGTGTAATTACCAATTTAATAAGCAGTGTTCATGAGAAAATCAGGCAAGTGGGTAAACTCTGTTACATCGATGCATCTGCATCATTTGAACGATTAAATACTTCAATTACCTTACTTTACACAAGTTGTATCACAGGTGTCTTATCTCTTGGACTTATTATAACATCAGATGAATTAGCAATAACTCTTGAAAAGGGGTTCAATCTTTTAAAACAACTTCTTCTACTGTATTCTTTTTTTGGTCATGGACCTGATATTGGTCTTATGATTTTTCTTACAGATAATTTGAATGCTGAACGAACAGCATTAAAGAATTGTTAGCCACAGTAAAACCAATTATTGTGTGTGTTCTACTTTCTTCAGGCATTTTGGCATTGGCTATATAATCTGAAGCATAATATAAATAAAGAACACAGAAGCCCTATAATGAAAATCATGCAAAAAATATTATACTCTCAAACGGAAATTGAAATAGAAAAATTTTATAGTGAATTAAGGTCTATTTATTATACTACATATTCACAGTTGCATAGGCACTTTGAATTACTTTGGGTTCGGTGACCATTATGGGCTTTATTATTTCATTCTAGACTTCTTATATGAGGAAATCATACAAACAATTACATAGAGTATAGCTTTAGATTATTGAAAGATGTTATCTTTGTACAAACAAAAGCATATAATAGTTTCTAAGTATTCTATTTTATTATTACGAGCATGGAATGGTTCTATGAACTTCGATTACTTGCAATTGCATATAGTCACCCTGGTCATCGTCAAATAGCTAAATGATTTTAATGCCCTAGTTGAGAATTGATTAATGCAGCAGAAATTCAGCAATCTGAAATAGAATCAGAGTATCTGGTTTCGAGTCAAGAAAATAGCACTGATTTATTTTATACTGTAAATATTGAAATTTCTACATGCACCTGCTTTATTGAATTATCTGGAGGACCTTGTAAACACCAAGGTGCAGTAGCTGCCAAGTACCATATTGGATCACTGAATTTTTTTCAATCATTAATGTCTTATGATCGTGCAATTTTTGAATATATTGCATCTGGTAAGTAATTAACTATTTAACTTATTTAATTAATTATTAATTAATATTGATATAATGTATAGTAATAACATTTTAATTTTTAAGGGCTCATGTTAAATGACTATTCTTTTTATGCTTCACTACATGCTCGTACAAATAACAATAATTCTAAAGGTTGCAAGAATAGTATGATATCGAATAATATGCCTCAGAGCAGTGATAAAACCCAGGAAACAGAAAAACTTAATATTAATTTGACTGATCTAGAGTATATATTCTATATAATTAATTTTTTGTAATTTATCTAAAGCTTTCTAAAATAATTATTCTTAGATCTAATTCTGCTTTTTTTGAATCATTTCTTGAAACGATCAAACGAGATTACAAAAAATGTGGTTTGAATCTTCAGACTGCCCTTAAAAAATTCACCGAATGATACAATGTAGCAAAAGCTAAATCTGTTCCAGCATTAGTGTCATTTCTTTATGACATTAATCGTGATATTGATCCACTTGCACGAGTAAAAGTGGAACAAAAATTCGTATGCAAGTTGAATCAGTGAAGCGTTGAAAAACCAGTAATAATGATAAACAAAACATTAATCAGTATATTATTCCTGCACAGAAAGTTAAAGTAAAAGGCAAAAAAGCATACAAAATTAGTAAAAATGTTGATCTAAATCAGTTAAATTAATAGCTTTTAGTTAGTTTGAGTAACTATATATATGCTAGATCAGTGAGTTTTATAAAAACTCAGCATAAAATATTTTGTGGTTATTCAAATTTATTGGTATAGAAATTTTTGTAACCAATAATATAAGATGTTATATATTGCTCTATATAAAAGTTAAGTGATATTACTACATATTGATAAATTCATAATAATTTGAACTTGTATTTAAATTTTAGTTTTGAGTCATTTTTTTTCAAAAAAAAGAATATTGAATTGATAATAAGTAACACCGAAAAAAAGTTTAAATTATGCTTACTTTTGGCATCACTCAAATTAAACGAAAAGCTTTATTTTTTTTTTTTTTTTTTTTTTTTTAGTAAATTGCTTATACGCTGTAATTTTATTAATTAAGAACTTAAGAACTTATTACATATTGTATATTACAGGAATTAAGTTGTACTATATTAGTCTATCTAATGATACCCACTCTAAGCAATTTAGTTGTAATTTTGCTATATCTTAGAATTTAATCAATGGCTATTACCCCATTAATCAACTTCCAGCTGGTGTACAACCCACCTTTTCCCTATATATAGTTTTTTGTATTGTTATTAATATCTTGTCCCTCTATCCACTTCCTGCAGTAACTTTTTTTTCCTCCCAATTTGGTTCATTCTGGCAGTTTTTTGCTCTTGTTGCTTCCAAATTGGTGTACATAGCCTTATATTTGATTTAGTACCACTCTGATTTGGATACATGTTGTGTTGCCGTCATCATTTTCGTATCTCAAGCCAACTTTTGGGGCGCTGCCATAACATGATCCATATCTCAAGCCACAACCTTCCTAAACGGGCACGGCCAGATTTATTGGAATTTCCAGTTGTTGCTCTGCAGTGTACCACTTGCCTTTATGATGCTACCAAGGTTGGTATTGTCTGTAGCATAAGCACCAAAGGCTTTTTAGTGTATTCATTTTTACGTGTGGGTGTACTACTGATAATCATTTTTACTTCCAGCTTGGTGCTGCAAGGAGACCTAGAATATTGACTAACAACGCACCAGCATGGCACTCATTACTGAAGTTAGTAATGTACAATGCAATACCTAATGCAACTTCTAACCTTATATAAATGCCAGAGGTATTTCCAGAATTTAATTAGACCAATCCTTTTCCACAGATCTTTACTATATTCACCGCTTCACTCATCACTCCCAGTTTGGACATTAGTATTACCCTCCCAAACAAGATCCCAGACCCCTGTGTTGTTAGTGCTACCATGCAGATTTATCACTATATCTACTCGTTACTTTAAGTTTTAGAATATTAGTATTACTCTCCCAAGCAAGATCCCAGACCGCCTGGGTTGTTGGTGTTACCTAAGTGCCTCGAGGATTTACATGCGCAACCTATTTGTCCTAAAACCTTCTATGACACCGCTTGTCAAACATAACGCCAACTCTCTATAGCTTTTATTTCCACAGATTAACATGCACAACCTATTGTCCAGACCTTCTATGATGCCGCTTGCCAAACGTGATGCCAACTCTCTATAGTTAGATCTCCTTCCAGGAATTTCCTATCAAATCCGTACTATACTTGGACTTCCACAGGGCTCCATGTTCAATTTTGGCTCCTCACTTGTAAGTTATAGAGTTTTTTCTGCCTCCAGCCTGACTCGAACTATGGACCATGACTTTCCGTGAGGGTTTGGCAACTTAACAATTAAGCTATAGGGCCCAAACCCCAAAATTTTAAATTAATATATACTCATAATAAAAAGATATATAAATAGGCCCCATCTAATAATTGAGCTAAATTCCTCGAACAAAATACCCTATATGCAGCATTATCATCTTGACAATCCAATTTTATTACATCTCGCTTATATATAATACTTTCTTCTTTAAAAGATAATTCTAACATATGATCAAACCGGACTGTTGAATTTCCAAATGTAAGTAAATGAGAACCTGACATAGCAGCATTTCTTGCTGTTTTTTATCCATACTTTGGATCTTGAATATGGATTACAGGCCCAATTTTGGGAAATATAGGACAGTTAAAATTAATACCAAATTAAGAATTTCGGTGTTGAACCTGATATTTTGTCTTAGTGCTTGTAAAAGATTCTGTGTCTGAAATTCAGCAGCAGCACCATCTGATCTAATAGATATTATGTGTATTTCCAGATCTGCTACAATGTCTATTAGCTTTTATGAAGTGCAAAAATTTTTTCACTATCATCACTTCCAGTTGGAATTAATACTACAATTATTAGTAGAAATTTTGAAAGAGGCACCTAGTAGTTTAAAAATTAATTATTAACTATTACCTGAAGAACATAAGCTCTAACATATTTTGCAACTGTGTTTTCTTGCTTTATATCAGAAACCTTATTATATATATTATTGTAAGTTTCAATCTTACAATCTTTTTGGTTTAAGGTCGATCCAACAATGCAATCTAAACTTGAAAAATACTGTAACCTGACTTTTATTTTTGTACAATCAGTCATAGCTACAACAGGACCCTGATAATGCAATATATCTAAAAGTCTCTTAAAACAAGCAATATTTTTATAGCAAAGATTAAAATTATTGATAACATCATCTGAAATTCTTCTATGATGGCTATAAATAATAAAACAATTTTTAAATATAATTATACTGCTAAACAGAGCAGATAATTTTCTGTGGTGATATAATTTAATTTTTAAATTGGTATGCATTAAATTATAATTACCTTATTGTTCGAATGGTTTTACCTGCCAAGTTCTGACAAAATAAATCCAATGCTTTTAAACTGATGCTTTCCAAAATTACAAGGAAATTTAAGAATTCATTTGAATATTTGAGGTTCTGTAAACCTTTATCTTGTTTTTCACATTTTGTAGCTTGTAACATAATATAGCAAAGTCCTTTAAAAACTGGCTTTTGCTCAAATGTGCCTTCATTAGCTTTCTCTAAAAATTCTGTCCAAAATTCTTTTAATGATGAATTCCTATTAAAAAGAATATTATACAATTGTTTAATGTGATTATTTTTTAGGTAAGATAATAATGAATCATTATTATAATAAAATTTGGGTGTATATTTAATATTTTTTAGGTCAGGAGTAATAGCTTTAATACGATTCAAAAAACATGGATTATTATAAAAAAGAGAACACAGAGAGCAGGTTTGCCCATATGTTTTTTTTTTACAATTAACAGAACGAATACACATCCCTAAAATTACCATTATAAAGCCAAATAATTAAATTCTGAGTAAATAATAAAAAGTTCTAATATAACAGAGTGAATCAATTATGGTATTAATTAACTTACCAAAACAATCAATAAACCATTCAGATTCAACCATTACTTGTTGATTAAATTGTATTATTTCTTCTTTATTAAGTTTTTTAGAATTGAAATTCATATTATTTGAAAATTTATTTGGAAACATTTTCTTTTCAATCACTTCACGTCATCGTGTGCTTCTATAGGTAGATGGTGTTCTATTAATATAAGAACTAATTTGTTTAGAATATAATCCAGAACAAGGTTTATCTAAAAATGGTAAAAGAGATAATGATAGTAGCAGTGAAGATAATGGTGGGTACAATGATAATAGTGAATTTTCTTTTCTTTTTTTAGGGTTAGGTGAGACCGGGAAAAGACCAGGTAAGCTGAGCTGCTTTTTTTTATTATTCAATTTACATCTTGAATTTTTAGAATGTTCGATAAGCCTTGACTTATCATAATTATTGTCTAGAACAATTTTGTGTCTACACACACAAAATACTGTGCATTCATCAATTATAGCCCCACAAAATATATTACTAGCTAAGCGAGCTCGAGTATGTTTCTATTTCATTTATTTCTTAAACAAAAAATTTTCTATACAGCCGGGTTAGTCTTATATATATATATTTTTTTTATCGTTATAAAACTTTTAAATAAGATTTTTAAAGAAATTTACACACCAAACTATTTCAAAGTTTTTTTTTTATGTGCCAGACTTTTTTTTACGTGCTAAACTATTTCAAACTTTGTGTTAGCCAATTAAAATAACATTACATGCACGTATATAAGTATGTACATATAATGTGAGAAATTAATCACTTTATATAAATAAGGTATGCATAGAATAGTTACTATTAAGTGCATATTATTTTTTGGCATACATGAAATCGATAATTTAAGAATTATTTTTCATTAAGTATTCCCCAAAAAAAAGGATAATCAACAAAAGTTAAACATGACAATTCGAAATTTTAAATATTTTGACAAAGTTCAAAATGTAACTATTATTTAAATTAATATTAATTTGCCAAATTACAAATTTGGACCTTGCACCAAATTTGAGGCAATTTCGCTAAAATGTAAATATGACCTATATGAGAGATGTCCAGGGTTCTGTCCAATCTGAATAATCTATTATTCATTTATCTATCTGAACTTATTCAGATATATATTTACTATTGGCATCTTGATAATCTAACAAATATTCAGATAATTATCTGGATATCAATACTAAAATAGATATTTGAATAAAGTCAGATCTGGATATCCAATAGATAAATAAATAAATAGATAATAAATAGGGACTCTAATATATATAATTGATTTGAATTTTGTATATCCTTATCTATCTTTAATTAACTTCTACATATCTTTTACTTCACCAATTTACCTACTATTTTAACTTCTAAATTGGTGTATTAATACTTTAGATAGGTGCTTTTTACTTCTAATTTGGTGTATTTAATTTGTATTCCTATTTGGTATACTTGTTAGATGTTTTTATCTCAAGCTATACAACTATCTCTACTACATTGAATAAGTATTTCAAGTCTGTATAGTTACATTCTTTATCATAGAAGAGGCTTTGTTTATATTATGAATA